GTTTGAGAATAACTTCACTGTTCTGTTTCACTGGAATTCTCAGATAACTGGCAGGCAGCAACTGCTTGTTTTCTGAAGCTCTGGTGCAGAAAAATGTGTTTGAAATAATTCTCGTTTTTTTCTAAAAGAGTAAGAAAATCCATAACCATTCAAGTTATTTTGCTGAAATAGTCCATCAGTTCTGGATACAAAGTGAATTGTTCAGTGTGATACAAGGGGAGAGGGTGTGTGTGAAGAGCATGAAGTACTGGCAGTGATACTGCACAGGAGGAAACACAAGGTCACTTATTTTGTTGTCAGTGTTGCATATGTTGAAAGCTTTCTGTGTTTTGCTGTAAACTATAAACATGTGGTTTTTCCCTTTTAATGTGTGTCCAAAGAAGGAAGGGCTGGATGCTTCAGCAGAAAAGGGTTTTCCAGTTAGTCAGGACTTGAGTGTACAGCCTTGAAAAGCTGTGGAGCTGGGGATTGCAAAGGTGATTAATGTGTCTTTAGCCTTCTAATGTTGTAGATGCCACGAGGGCTGGAGACTCTCAGTTCTTCCAAGGGAATCTCTCCTGCCCTCTGTGCTGTTTTCCCATGTTGCTGATAAAAGTGGTTCTGTGGCTTTATATGGCTTAAAACTAAATTTAAAGCACAATTCTAGTTTTGCTTGCCCTTCAGGTGAACCAGAGAGAGAAGCAGCAGGGATAAACTTAGAGATGAAAGGTGAGGCTGCTGCTTTGGGCAGTGGGGTTGGACCAGGCTGGGTCAGGGGTGGTAAAAACAAACACACTGTAAGCACAAACTGCATTCTGGTGTGTATGGAGTGTGTACTGCAGCATTATACCAAATATAGGCATCAGAATGTACTTAAAAGGGAAGATTCCCTCAAGTCTGAATTCACTTCTGCAGTTTTATTATTTAGTAAGCAAAGATGTGCTGTTTGACTCATCAGAGCCGTGGTAACAACTGGACTGTGGCCGTCACCTCCTCCCAGTGAAGTCTGAGATGGGATGGTTTGCATCTAAAAAGGTGAAGGTGTGCAGTAGATCTGCTAGTGGTGGACAAGGAAAGCAAAGTAAAATTACTCCTTTTTGTCCAGGGGCTGCCTTACCTGTGAAAATTAGGAGTTGTTCAGCTTGTGGCCTTCTAGGAGGCAGGTTGCATAGTATGGAAGATATTTTAGTTTTATAATAGTTTTATGATATTTTGTGGAAAAGATTAGCTCCATGCAGCACTTTGTCTGTCAGGTAGTAGGTATTCACCTCAATTTTTAGGGTAACTTCCCTAAGTTGAAGTTGAACTTTTCAAGGTGTGGGTCAAGATTTAGAGCTCTTGTCCTGAATAACAGAGGTCTTGTTTACTCTTTATCACTGTCTAGGCCAGATTCCTTTTTGAAAAGAAACCCCAAAATAAACATAAACCAAAAGAGCTTGTGTAACAAGCCATCTGACAAACAGTTCAAAGCTTGATCTCTGAAGTAGTCAAGTAATTCCAGTAGTAGTAGTACAAGACTTGTGGAAAATAGGAACTTGCCACAGTGGACCGTGGGAGAGAACATGTGTGGTCTTGCTCTCCAGACAGCCATGAATCCATGTGGAGGAGAGGCTTTCCTTACATATCCCAGCCATGGGAAAAGCTTAATTGGAGTTTGCAGTTCATTATGTACCGAAGTCCTCAAGTGTTTGATGTAAATCTGTAGGAAACTGGCTTTGGTAATGAGGGTGCCCACGGCCTCTGCCAGCACCACTCCCTTATTTGCAAGGAATAGTGCTGTCAACTGGGATGATTATTCCAGGAGCCTTCATAGTGCAGGTTGTCCTGGAATTGCTGTCACGGAGAGGTATTTGGAAGAAGTACAGGACTGTTCCTTCCACATGTGTGTTGGTCAGATGAACTTCTGGAGAACTTCAGCGTGCCTGTGTGAGAGCGGGATGGCCTCAGGAAATGTTGTTCTGTCTCTGTGAGATTTCATTTCTTTTCCTGGTCTGTTTTATTAGTTGGAGACAACATTTGTTCTGGGCTTTTTGGTGGGCCAGAGGAGAGTTCCACCTGCAGGTTTTCTAGAGCAAGAGGCAGCACTGGCCTTCTTGTGAAGCAAAAAGTTGGTGTGCTCCTGTGCTGGTCCCTAAGCTGCTCCTGGAGTTATGGGAAGGGTGCAGGGAGAAGGGAATGGGCTCATGCTTGCTGACAGGAGTTGTGAGAGGAAGCTCCTGTCGGCTGTGGGGAAGCTTGGAGTGTCTGGGGAATTTGTGGCCTCAATCCTTGTCCCTTCTCTTTCTGAGCAATTCCCTCCTGTTGGTGCTCTGAAGGAGGCAGTTGTTGCTGCTCAGTAGAAGAGCTGAGGGAGGTGAAGGAGAGGAGAGGGCTGGAGGCTGCTTTGCCTGTGGTTCCTTGTGCCTGTGCTTAGGAAAGCTGACTCAGCAAAGGTGTGGGTAGCCATGCTTGTATTGCTGCCGGATCCAGTGGGACAGCTCCTTTTGGAAAAGCAGGGATGGGCCAAGACGATGGGGCTGTGCCTCAGGAGCGGGGCAGGTCCTGCCCTGGCTGGGAAGATCCTGTGGCGTTACTGCTGGATCACTGGGCATGGAGGTCATTTAAGAAGTGGGAAGCAAAGGTGTGGCCCCAGTGCCACATGGGGAAGGTTGGTTTGTGGAGAGCAAGCTGAGAGTCCTGGCCTAGGAAAAATGCAGGAATGTGCCAGCTGTGGAAAGAGGCAAGTCCTCTAACACCCTTTTTTTTTTTCTTCCCCCCTCCTCTAAAACATGTGTGCCTACTAATTGTCCCAGCTCTTTCTGCCACTGTCAGATCAAAATAAAACCTGCAGGTCTATAATTAAAGCATAACAAGTCATAAAACCACCACTCAGTTCCTCTTGCCCTTTTGTGGAAAGGAAATTTAGAAATTGGCAGGAGGAGAGAACCCTCCTGAAAATTTGTCATTGTGCTAATCAGGATGAATGAATTCAGCTTTCGCTTTGCTTGGATTTCTTTCCTATTTAAGGTTTCCAAAAGGTCTTTTAACCTTGAGCAGCTTCTTTCTTTCTCTCTTTTAAAAAGTAACGAAATCCCACAGAGACTGAAATGAAATGGAGTAGCCTTTCCTAGTTGAAATTGTTTTGTGAATGTGAGAATAAAACCCCACTTGCCTGGTTTTAACTGGAACTACTTTAATTCAGTATCACTTAACAGTCACACAAATATTAAAAAAAAACCCCAATAATTACAGAATGTAAAGCTAGCAGTGGTAATACATAGTCATTACACATTATTTCCGAGGGAATTTTTGCTTTCTTAGGTTTTCAGATACTTATAGAAGGAATGTTGTCTTCAGGCAAGTTAAAACTTGCTGGCATATTCCTGGTGATACAGTGCCTTTGAAAGAAAACATGTGTGTATATCCAGGGAGATTGAAGTTGGAGAATCAAATAACTCCTATTTTAAGTGCTGGTATTTAAGCTGCCTGTGGATCATATCGATGTATCTTCGTAGGGGTTGGGCTCTTGTGATGAGGATCTGCTGTGCCACTCTGATCTGGTGGAGGGTTAATGACAAGTTACCAAGGTACAAGTAGGCCTGACATGAAATAATAGTGATTTTACTCCTGTTGTTTTGCTGCTGTGTCAGGGACTCCCCTTTAATATTCCACAAAGATTCCATAGTCTCCCTGTAAAAGTGGGAATGAGAAGTTCAATTTCAGCCCAGCTGAAAGTCTCTAAACTTTCTATGTGGCTTTAGCATCATGAAATAAATGTTTATTTTGAAAAGGTCTGGGTTTTATGTTCTGGACTACTTAGATTTGAGATAATTTTTTGATCTCACCTCTGTTCTTGCCTGTGCTCGAGCATTCAGCAGTCCTGCGTTTGGGATCCCTGCATGTGAAGTTGGGAGTTGTTTCCCGGTGTGCCAGCAGGTGATCCTTGCCTGGGGTGAGCACTGAGCCTTCTCCAGAGCCTCAGCAGTGACACCCCTTGCTTTCATCCACTCCCTGTTTTCCATTTGTTTGCAGAAGGACAGAAACTCTCTGAGTGCCTTCTCTTGTTACACAAACCGCTTAGTTACATATTCAGGATGTTGTGATAAGAAAATAAAAGATTCCCTGTTTCTGCCTTGCTGCCTTTTGCTTCTTCTTTCCATATTCCTCCCTGAGAGCTGTTCCCAGACCGGCTGGGAGTTGGCAGGAATGTCACAGGTGACAGTGCTGTGGGGGGACGAATCAACCTGACCTAAATCTTGGGGTGAGGTGGAGGTGAATTCCGTGCTTATGCATTGCAAAGAAGTTTCCAGTTGATCCCTTCCCTGGGGAAGGAGCTGTGTCCCCTTGAGGCTTAAGACTTCTCTGAATAATTAATCCTCTGGGTCTCTGTCCTCAGGGAGAGATGAAAGAACTGTGGAAGGCTACTGTGTTACACCTGATAAAGGAAGTCATTAGTGAGGCTTCAGATAGTCACATAAATTAAAAACACTTGCATCCTCTTTCCTTAATAATAGATGAAGCCTTTAGGATTAGAGTTAAAAAAAGGGGGGGGGGGAGAACAACTAGAAAAGCTCTTTTTGTGTGTGAGTAAAATTCCTTTTCACACAGTTTTACTTGCCCCTAAATTACTTTATTTTTCCAGATTTGCCCCTATTCCTGTATGAGATGTCTGAAGAGGGTAAAAATGTTGTAAAACTCCCCTTATTCTGAATTGGTGAAGATGTGCAGGGTGTTATCCCAAATTCCTTTGATTTTAGAGGCAAAGAAGTATTTCTGTGGCTGAACAGCTCGGTAGTTCATTTGTAGTTAATTACCTTTTTAATGAGAACAACATTTCAACCACTGGTAGGTAAAGAATGTTCGAAAGCTGATAATTCAGGAAACAAACCTTAGCAGGGCTGTGATTTGTTTTGTTTTGCCTGTGCATTTGATGATACCAGAATTGCCACTCTCTCCTTTTCTGTGGCCAAATGTCCATTCTCTCCTTTTCCGTGTTCCAGGCTGGTGGTGGTTTATGCTCAGCTGTTGTGGTTTATCTGCAGGTACAATGGATCCCTCCCTAATGGTGACAGAGGACGCAGGAAAAGCAGATTTGCCCTTTACAAGCGACCCAAGGCCAATGGAGTTAGACCCAGCACTGTCCATGTCATCTCTACTCCTCAAGCATCCAAGGTATGGCACAGGGGGACAAATCCTGGTTTTCTGATGATCCTGAGTGGAGATCCTCATGTGTTGCCTTGCTGCCAGTTGGTTCTGTGGTAGTAGGATACATCTCTTTTAATGAAGAGGCTGCAGTGGATTTTCTTTCTGAGGGTATATGGCTTTAATTTTAATCCAGTTACCGGTTTAAAATAGTCTGTAAACTCAGGTGTGAGATAATCTGACCTTCCTGCCCCTGTTCAGAAAGCTGTCTCTGCTTTTGTGATCAAAACAGAAAAAGTATTTTAATTTCTTTCTCGCTGGAGTGATATCTCTTTCCTGCTCAGGAGGATCACTGACATGCCATAAAAAATGTCATGATCCCTTTGGGCCTTTCATTTTTGTTGCTGATAATGATACTGTGGAAGTTTTTACTTGAAGTTTAGTGTGGGTGAAAGAAGAAAAGCAGTAAATATATAAACATAGTAATACATTAATGTATAGTGCTGTCCAGGTCAGAGTTCTGGTGGTGGAATATATTTCAAGCTTCAGAAAGTCATGGCTCTTCACACTGCTCAGAAATGGGTTGTCTAACTTGGACCAAGAGAAGCATGTTGTTTAATACATAGTGTGGGATTATGTTTTCTAATGCACAGTACACACCTAAACTTATCAAAATACACCATATCAGAGCTTGTTTTCTTTGCAGAATCCTTTGTCTAGGGCCTGCCTAGTGCAGATAAATGAGGAGTCTTTTGGATTAAAAGTTTCTGTGAATATTTTTCAGTGAAAGCTTGTGTGAGTTAATAAACTCAACCTTCAAAATAGACCTGTAGTATAATGTTTATTTATGTGTTGGCAATTGCAGTCTGCTGCTTAAAATGTAACAAATGGGGGAAAAAAAAAGTGTTTTACAGAGTGGCTGGAAATATACCCATGTTCTCACCGGATAATGTGAAGCATTTAGACTCCAGATAGTGTTTCAGCATTTGAGTTGCAAAATATTTAAACACCTGGCAGACAGCACAAGGAATCTGGTTAATGTTCATCTGTGGTGTTGTTGCAGTGCAGATAAAATATGTGTGCTGTGCAAATTAGTGCCCTTATAAAGATAGCGCAGGGGCTGGGACATGAAAGGCCATCCTCCCAGGGTTTGGATTCAGGTAGATATGTCAAGCTGAATGGATTCTTCTGCACTTTCTCTGAACCCTTATAAAAGAGCTTTTGTGTGTTTATCCTGCTGTCTGGGGCAAGGCTGGTGGGTGTGTGCCAGAACAGGGATGCAGAGGATCTCAGGAGAGCTCTTTCCATGCACAGAGAGGATTTTTTTTTTTTAAGATGCTGTCAAAGGCTTTTCTCACATCTTAGGCACCAGAGCCTAAATCATTTTACTGGGAATGGTTTCTGCACCCAACTTTTGTCAGTGATTGCAGAAACACAGGCTGATAAAGAGGGAGCTGCTTGGTTCTTATAAAATAGCAACTTGATCTCAAAAGTTTAGTCCTGCTTTCTGTCTTTCAGTCTAACTGGTATTTAAGGAAGGTAAAACAGTGGGAACTCGTGCTGCACAGGATATTAATGAGTTTTCTCCCTTAATATCCTTCCTCCCAACTCTTCATATACCAGTTTCCTGTTTTGCTCTGCTTGTCTGTCACGGCAAACTGAATCTGGAGTGAAAAGGCACGTGTTATGTTTAGAGCACTGGTGCTTCTGAAGTGGTGGATTTAGCAGAGGTGGGGGAGGCACTGGCTCTCTCCATTGGTTCTGCCTCTGATGTGGATACTGGAATAAGGTGCAGGGCTGGTTTTGTGCTAATTGTGTAAATGCAGCAGCTCAGGAGCTGTATTTGTCACCAGTTCTAAGCCTGAAAACTGCAGTAGATGGCAGGAGGCTGCTTGTCATGTCCCATTGTCCCCGCTGTGCAGGTGTCAAGGACAGCTGGGGTAGCAATGGCTTGGGTAGTAAATTTAGCTGAGCTAATTGCATGTGAATCAGGGCCTTTTGTTTCTTCCACTGAGAGCTTGTTGTTTGGTTTTTTTTTTTTTTGCCACTCTGACTTCTGAGGTGCTGGAGAAAACTTAGGATTGTTTGGATTTGTGTCTGTGTTTGGGGGGAAAGCACTGCATGGGGTAATAAGTCTCAAGTTTTTTCAGAGGGTTGTTAAAATACAGATACACCTCTTCAACTTTATTCACTTTGCTTTAAAACCTATTTTATTAACTCTATGCTTAGGCAGCAGTCAGGAAATTTTCTGGCATCCTCTGACTGTTTAAGACAGACTTTTTCCAGCATTGTCAAAGTTAGGTTTGCTGTAAGAAAGGAAGCTTAAAACTCTTATGCTGTCTTGAGTTTCTTTGTGTACTTGTCAGGGGTGGGGAGTGAGGGACTGTGAGTCTTCATTAACTGGGTATGAATCCAAGATTTTAATAATCTCCTTTGCTGAACTAGAGCGTTTGTTTCAAAATCATCATGTCACAGGGTCAGTGGCACTAACACTGAGGTTACTGGTTTTCCTGGACACTCTAATCATGTAATCCCCTATGACTTCAGGTCTGTGTGCATTTAGATTTCCCTGTTGGTTTCTAATGCTTTGGAATTACTTCCATGGATGTAGAGTTTACAGAAATGAAGGAGCTTTATGTGCATTTGAATTACTTGAAGTATGGCATTAGGAAGCATGAATTGTTGAATGCAGAATTCCCTAGGATTACTCTGGAAGCATGACTGCAACAGTGTGTGTGGGATTTGAGACCTTCCAAAGTATTAAGTCAGTGGGCAGGGGAATGTAACTATCAAGCACTGGAAGTACTCCTGTCTAACAAGGAAATATTGTGCTTTGGTACCTGAGTGATTCCATTCTTAATAATGACCCCATAGAAGGTTGCAAATGCCTTTTGAATTGCTGCAGACTACAAAAAAACCCCCACCTTTAATACCTTTTTATGGTGGTGTGTCTTGGTATTTATTATGTCTGTCTGTCTCAGGATCAAAGTATTCCTTTGGTAACCTGTGGTGGATAAAGTCAACCTATTTTCCCCCCTATGAAATTACTATTTCAGGCTGCCTGGGGAAGATCTTTCCAACTCCAAGTCCAGTTACCTGCCGAGTTGGCTTCTGCTTTGTGCTATCACAACAGCAGCTTGTGCAGTCACTGCCTGGGTTCCTGCAGCTCGAATCAAGTTTCCTGCTGCTGCTGGAAGAGAACAAAATGCAGCCATACCAAATAATTGTTAGGTCGGGGACAGAGCTGCAATTTGTGCTTTGAGTGACGAGAGAAAATGAAAGTATAGGATTCTTGTGATCAGATACTGCATCTGCTTTGACATCCTTTGAATGGGTTGTAAAAGGACCAGAGATCCTTTTGGCACTGACAGCTTTTCAGTGTTGGTTGTGAGTGAGAGCTGCAGAGCTCAGCTGTCAGTGCCTTCCCTCCTTCCTGCTGGGCTTATTTATGGTCTAATCAGTTCGTGGAGCACTAATTTGTTCTGAAGTAACTCTAATGGCACAGGTATCTCCAGAGTCCTGGGCTGTGCAGCAGCAGCTTTTTCTTGGCTCATCACACAGAGCCTGCTTGAGTCATAGTTTCCTGGGTGTATTGTCCTTTTCTTTGTTAAATGAGCATCACCTTAACTTGCTCACTCCCTGTTCCTGTGCCCTTCAGTAGCAGGGAATGGTCAGACAGAAGGATTGGACCAATTTCACCAGGAAGGCTTCTTATAAATAACAGCCCTTACTTGGTTTGAAGCTCTCCTTCCTGAGCTTTTGGGACCTATTGAGCAGAATGCATGTCAAAGGTTTTGGAAAATCATTTCATAGTGTTTTCTAACAAAACCCAGATGTTTAGTGAAGGAAGGGGAATTAAAAAGTTGCTGAGGACTACAACAATTATTTTTTTATGACTCGATGTTGCTTTTTGTTTTCACATTCTCCCTGCAGAGGGTAAAAAAAAAAAAAAGGATCAAAAAAAATGCTTTCCTTGTAAACTCTCTTTAAACTACATCTGCTCTAAATCAATATTTTAGAGCTGGTTCTGCTTGAACGTGGGTGCCCTTTGAAAGCAGAGGAAAGTGCAGTGATCACCAGAACTGATGTTAAACTTGGGAATGTTGCATTTCCCCAAACGCTTCCGCTTGGGTTTCCACAGGGATTCCAGGCTGTGCAGTGTCTCAGTTTGCAGCTTCCCTGACTGTGTCAGGAATAACCCTGGGAGGGGGGGAAGTTGGGCTTGTGATAATGGAGAGCTGTGGAAAGGAGGGGCTGGATCTCAGCTGAGCTTTTTAAGTGCTGCAGTGTGAGGTCAGACACTGCAAACCTTGCTGCCCATTGTGGAATGTCTTCAGTTGTTTGTGCCGCTGGAAGAGCAACAAGTAGGATTTGTACTGGAGATGGTTTCACTGGAATATAAAATTTTCACAGCTTGAGCTTACTGTGGCATGACTTGGTTAAAATTCTCTAGCTCCAGTTTGACTGGTTCCTGCATCTTCCTCACTGTTTGCCAAGAATTTGGGGTGGAAACTTTGGACCACCACAGAAGTGGTGAAGCTCTGTCCTGTCTCACATTTATTCTAATTGGGCTGTTAATTGGCTGGGATGGATCTGGTCTTAGAAGTGCATTTCTCCTGAGAGCTGGGCTGCTCTTGGCTTCCTAAAAGTGGTGAAAACACCCAAAGCTGGTTTTGGATCAAATGAAGCCACATGGGCTGAACATCTGCCTGCGTGGTGGAACTTGCTGTTGGGGATAACTCATCCCTGCACGTTGGGATTTTACCAAGGGAGGTTCTCTCCAGAACATTAAAAAGTGATCTCCTGTGGTGTTCCAGGTGTTTGTGCTGGAGCAGAGTTAGGAGCAGCCTGAGGAATACAGGGATTTGTATACAACTATTGGAATCTGGGGCTGTCAGCATCTATAATACAGGAATTCCTCTTCTGTGTATGGGTTGTTCCGTGCTCAGAAGAAAACTTAGCAAGAGGAACATGCAGCTGATGATGGATATACTTTTCCTGCTCTCTCAAACTAATGTCCAAATGAAATGGTCTTAAATGGATGGAATGTTGTGTTTTGGAAAAATCAAGCAGCATGTACTCAGTCACAGCAGCTCTGCTGGAACAGAGGAGCTGGAACTGAATCAAAGAGGAGATGAGACTCCTCTGCTCCAAGGCTTTGTTGAGAGGGGCAATTATTTTGAAAGCACAGAAAGCAATTCGAGTTTCAGGGGCCAACAGTAACTTTTCGAAGAAACAAACAGCTGCTGCTCCTGTTTTACAGATTGGAAAATACTTGTTTTCCAGAGTGCCTTGAGATTTTGTTGATGGAAAGAAGAAGATCTAAATATATTTCTCTTTCTGGGAGTTTCTTATGACTGCATCTGTAAAATGAGTAATGTTAATCTGTTCTCCAAGTGAAGGACTCGAGGGGTGACTCTTGGGACACCAGGAGATTCCTTTTCCCACTGTCTGTGGGTCTCTTGTCTGAAACATGTTTATGCTTTCTCTGAGATGCAGGATTACTTTGTTTTGGGATCCTGCTCAACACCAAACACTCCACAAATATTTTGGGAGAAAACAGGGAGCACTTTATCCTGATAATCCCTTCTGAAGGGATCTATCTCCAGCAAACTGCTTATGGTGAGGCTTCATTTGCTGAATGCTCCAACCTCTTCTTCTGGCAGTCATAAAGCAGTTCAGAGTTCTTTAGCACTATGGGTTTGCTCCTACAAGATGATATTTTTTTTTTTTAATCATCTCCTGAGCTGTCCTTCCATGAGAACAAAGGAGTCTGACCACTGGGCTTTCATCAGGTGACCTCCCACGTGAGGTTGTGTGTGTTGTGTGTACAGACTTGCCTTTAAATTCTGCCTGCCACTTGTCCACAGTGATTCTGCCAGTCCTTCAGGAAGTTCTGGACTCTGCAGATACCTGGTGTGAGATGATGTGTGTGGTAATGTATGCTTTGGCCTTCTCGTTTCAGCAGCAGCAGATGCCTATCACTGGGACTTCAGGAAGCTCATTAAAGGCCCAGCACTGCCAAGTTGCTCTGTTGTTCAGTTCTCTGCCCTCTTCCAGCTCAGTGTGAGCTCTGAGATCTTCCTACACTGGGTTTACCAAAGCCAGGGAATGATGGATCTCCTCTGCTTTGTGGTACCAGGGGGAGCACTCCCTGTCAAGACAAAAAACTGTGGGACTTGGTGCACTGAGGTCAGGTTTGCACATTCCCTGGAACTCTCACTCTGGGGACTGCTGGCCTGGCATTGCACTGAGACAAGACCAGCATCTTACAGTGATGTCTCACACTGGGATCATCCAGAAGTGGTGTGGATGTTGACAGCTACCACTTTTGTGGCTCTAGAGATTTTTCCTGAGGACCTGTCCTGTTTATGAAGTTTAAGACACTGAGAGATGCTTTTCTTTCTCTTTTGCCCTAACCCAGGGTAAGAAAAGAGGGGGGAGCAAGTACAGGTTTGATTTCTGTGTATTTGGTTTTTGCTCATGGGTCTCATGTGACCAAAGAAACTTTGGTTTCAGTCCCTGTAGCTGCACAAGGTTTTCGCCTCCCAGACTTTGCACTGATCGAAGGCTTAGATGACAAAGCACCCCCTGTTTGCTGCTTGAGCAGCTCTTGTGTCTAAAACAGCACTGCTCAGCTTGCTGAGGGGTGTTCTTGAGCAGAGGAACCTGAAAAGAACTTAGAACTTTCCTGGTGAGATAAAGGACATTTTATACTTGCCCTGCAGCAAGACAGATTTCTGGGGTTTGTTACTAATCTCAAATCTCAGTTAAGTTTAACTGCAGAGGTGCTTTCTTCTGGAGGATCAGACTTCTGAGAGCCAGGACTTTCTGGGATCAGAGCATCCACATTTACACCCTGGATGATCAGGGAATTTCTGAACCTGTCGCAGCTTGTTTATTCTCCAGCTCTTTGGGAAATGATCTGTGGAAGGTTTTCTTTGGGTAGGGGTTAGAGCTTCTGAGGATTAGAGCTTGTTCCTTTCCCCAGGCAGTGCTTTCCTCAGCAGCTGCTGCTGTGAAGCTTCATTTCAGCTGAATGAGGTTATTCCACCTTTTCTCTCCCTGTCTTTATAAGGTGTGTTCATTCTTGAATGAGTTGTTGTCTTCTCATATTGACACAACTGAATTTGTAGGACCAGTAAATCTCCATCTCTACCAAAAAGTGGCCAAAGGTTTGGTGAACTTCTGAAGATGTGCCTTTGTTTGGGTGGACCTGTGCTGGTCACACAGATAACAACCAACCTCTCTCTCTTTGAAGCTCTTGCCTTCACAATATTTGGCTGTTCATCTGTTTAACATAAACCAGAATTCTAGAAGAGGTAATTAAAGAAATCATGGGGTTGAGAGAAGGTGAGGGAGAGATACTTGTTTATGCTTAAGATTTTAGAGTGTTTTGAGTGTTATTAAAGCAAAACTTATTATCTGTGCTGCATGAATGCAAAAAAAAAAACTGTGTGATTGATCAAATAAAGCTTCGATTGTGGGCTGATTTCTCTGGTTTGCACTTTTGAGATACTGTACTTTATATAGAGAAACCTCACAAGTTTTGAATTTTCTACAAAAGTTTTGAGGAAATCCTGAATAGGACAGTGACAGCAAACCCCCCAAAACTGGAAGGAGGCCTGAAAGGAACTTTGGGGAGGCTTTGGATTCATTTTGACTTCTGACCTTCGTGTAATGACATTTACCATCACAAACTTCAGACAACGGGCTACTGTGTAAAGCAGAAATTTTTCCTCCTCCCTGTTTTCTTAGAGAAAGAAATTTTTTTCTTCTCCTCTGTTAGCATTTGGTTTTCCACAGTGCTGTGTCTCTCCTTCAGCCCACCAAAGAATCTGCCACCGCTGAAGGTCAGGGATGAGGCAGTGCCTTGGTGGTCCAGGTGGGAGGCAGGAGGAACAAAGCTGACCTCGCCTCAGCTGCTCCTCCTCTGTTCCCAAGGAAAAGCTGGCCTTGGAAAGCTGGATTGTGAAACTTGTAATAGCACAGAAAGTGTTCTTCCCTCAGCTCAGCCCTCCCCCTCAAAGCTCTCTCAAATCTTCCTGTTGGGTGTTTTGTCACAGGGATTGACTCTGTTGCTGCCTGAGTGTAATAAATAAACTGTGCAAGTCAAAACAAAGTGTTTGCAATTCTGTGCAGGAGACAGCCCTTGCTAAATATCTTAAAATATAGCTCTGTTATGCTCTTGACTGTTACTGGGAAGGTTTAACTCTCTTTTGCTTGGTTAAAAATACCTCAGTTATTTAATGTTGCCTCGTAGTATCTTTGTCCTATACCCAGACACTGCTGGGGTTGAGTGACTGTGTCACTGTGATGGGTACAAAAACAAGGCTCTTTCTGAAGAACTTTATTTTTATTTTCCTGGAAATAATAGAAAAATATTTTATAAAGGCAAGAAGCTGCATATCTATTAAACTCCTTTAGATTGTGTGTGAATTTACTCAGGGTCTCACACAGACTGAAACAGTCAGGACGTTGAGTTCAGGTAGCCCCATTCATTGCTTTAAATCAAAACTTTGCCAGATGGTGTTTTTGTCAGATGTCTATGTAATATACATATTTAGATGATGCAGTGTAGGTTTTCCAGATATTTTTATTAAATGGTTTTATGGGTTTTGCCATGGAAGTACTTCAGGAGTTGGGGGGGGAAGCAAGCATTCCAGTCATTATTTAAGAATATTGGAATTTTTTGAGAGAATTTGTAGCTTTAGATGTGAAATTTGTTACAATAAACTTTGGGTACAGAGTTAATTCAGTAAGTTTAAACAGGGATATATGTTATATGCCTTTGTTCCAATATTGGGTGTTGGACAAGCACTAATTCTCTACAGTCCATTGTTTAAACCCTTTGGCAGAGTCAGTGCTGTAGGATTATTCCCGCTTACACCCATACCTGCAGAATTCCTGCTGTCCCGTCTGTTGTTCCTGTTTTCTCATTTTATAAATTCTTTGTATGGAACACAGTCTAATGCTTTGGAAAGTCAGCATTTGTGTGGTGGGGAAGCACTGGCATTGCAGTGCTTGATTCCATCACCTTCAGGAGGGATTCCCTTTCCTGCAATCTCTTCCTCTCTCCAGATGGAAGTGTACTTGCTCAGATGTGAAGGGAAGGCCCTGATTTTTCTCTTGACTGCTCAGGAATTCTGTGCAGAAACCCCTCTGATTAAAATTTAGCCAGAATGATAAATAAAAATCTGTATATGCATAGCAAAGACAGGTGACAAGAGGGAACACCATCATACAGTGTGACTGTGTGAAAGCACTGAGGCTTTTCCAGGATGAAGCAATAATTGATTTTTTCACTTAGTGCCATTACCACATTTAGTCTTAAAAACACTAAACCACTTTGAAACAGGAGTGTGGAGGCACCCTCTCAGGTCAAAAGCTTGGATGGCTGGAGACACAGCTCTGGGAAGAAGATTTTGGAATGCAAGAAGAAGCATTTCTGACTCAGGTAGGATTGAGGGCTGGGCAAGTGCTGGGAGGGGGTGGCTCTGCCTCTGCTGCTCCATGGAAACTGTTGTCATTTCTGTTGGAGTGTTTGCCATGTGGATGGTGGAACAGTAACGGGAATAGGATGATCTCTGATTCCCAAGTAGTCTTGCTCCCAGCTGTGACAGTCCTGCCTAGAATTGCTCTGGATAAGGCACTTGGTGTAGGATAAAACCCCCTAACAGTGCTCAGAAGTAGATACTGTAGAGACAGCTCATCCCTTGGGCAGCCCAGCTCTTCCAGCAGCTCCTCGTGGAGAAAGGAGCGTCAGGGCCATGAAGGCTGGGCTTGAGACTGAAAAGTGGTAGCTGTGTGGACACATTTGCTCCATGTGAGAAGATGCTGAAGCCTTGGCTGTGCAGGCTTGGGCTCTGCAGAGTCAGTGGAGTCTCAACTCCAGCTGAGCAGCACGTGCTGGTTTAGAGCAAGGGCTGTGTCCAGTAGGTCATTCCCATTTTGGTATCTTAATTGCTGGTTTAGCCCTGGCTGAAGGTCTCTCCAGAAGGACCTTTAGCAAGTTTGTGTACAGAGGATATTTGACATCTTGGGAGACTCATGGAATCTGTTGTCCTTCAGTAATTTTTCTGCCAAACCCTCGAGTGTCTGCAGAGTCTTTTTTTTTTTTTTTTTCTGTACTCCTGCCAGGATTGGGACATTTCTTGTTTTGAAGTCAAGGAAGTTGTGTTCAAGGAAATGTCATGCCCAGAATCATTTGTTAATTGTGCACAGGCTGTCTTTAAAGCAGTGCTTTCTTGGCTTTCACTTGCCAGCTGGTGAATTGTGTTGTTAGCACCAGCAAAGGTCCATAAATCACGGATACCTCAATTGTATCTAATCAGCCTGTTCAGTGTTCCAGGATTGTTTCAGCCTCCCATTTCTCAGGCTTGATTAACAGGAAGGAGAGAGCACTTAGGACACTTTTTACAGGTACATAATGTCTCTTCTTTATCACTTGTGTGATTTTTTTGTTTTCCTGTTGAGTATCAATGTGTATTTGAAGGACAGTGAAGATAAAAAGTAGGTTTCCTTTAAAATGGAAATCTTTCTTATTCGAATATTATGTTCTCAGTCTTATCAGTCTGGGCAAAGTCTGCACATTAATTTGCCAGGATGGTTTGCTGCTTCTGGGCTTTCTTTTTGTCCTTTTTTTTTTCCTTTTTTTTTTTTTTTTCCATTCATTGATCCAGATACCACGTTCCTCTCGTTACAGTTGCAACCCTTCCTCATAAAGCATCTCATTACTTTTAACTCTGTTTATTTAGTGCCTGCTGACTACAGCTGGTATGATGATGGAATGCCTTTTTCATAGAGACCACTGGAAGTCTTGGAGTGGGATAACATTCACCTTTGATGGAATTGGCTAAGATAACTTTATCAACAACCAGAAACTGTGTTCAAAGTGGCAAGGCCAAAAATGTGCCAAATCTTTTGGCATTGTTTTAATCTAATTTATGATTGACTTGCTGTACTATTAATAGTTTCTATTAATAGTTTCTTTTAATGACTGTGTGTTTTGCTTCACATCAGGGGGAAAACACTTTGCCTTTAAAATAGGGGTTGTGGTTGTATTAAAGTGCTTTTGGCAGAAACTGAGATCGATACCTGTGTGGGGCAGGTTGGCTCCTTGTCAGGTGCAGGTTGGTCAGCTGTGTGTGCAAACAGAGAGGAGGTTTGCTCTCCGATGTGGTGGTTGGGTGAATTGCTGCAAAACTGGCTTGGGACTTAGCTCTGGTTTCCTCAAAACTTTAAAGCATCAAAGATTTGAGCTGAAGGGATTGCACTGAACTCTTAAATGATTGTCATACAGGAGGAGGATGTGATACACTTGTGGAAGGACATGTTGTATGAACCTTTTACAAGAAGACAACACAAAATGTGGAAATAAACTGATACAGAAGCTTGTGCTTTGTCTTCCTCTCCTTATGCATCATCTCTTGTGGATCTTACGAGTGCAGACATAATACAGAGCATAAAGAAGGGGGAATTTGATGTAATAAGTTGGTTTGAAATGATAAAGTCTTTTTGCTGTTATTTTCCTACCCATCACACCTCCCCCCTCCCATCCAGTGCCCACCTTGTGCTGCTCCTCAACCCACTGTTTTTGTCACTGGGAAAAGTGAGGGACACCAGGATTCTTGAGTTGATTTTTCTTCTTCCAGTTGGCCTATCAGTGAGATGCCTTTGAGCTTTTTAGGAAAACACTGCTGAACATGTTCTTTTTGGAAAGAAAAAAATGTTAAAACTGTACTCATGGGGTTTTAAAAGAGAATTTTCCTTCTCGTTTTGCATTTAATATATAAAACATGTATGCACTGTGCTCAGCACTCAGTGCTGGTGTGTAGAGCCCTGCTCCTGCTGGAATACACAAAGTAAAAATAGTCCAGGATGCACAGGAATTGTGAGGGGTTTTGTGTCCCAGTTTTCACTTGTGACAATAACACTTGCACTGGTGTTGATCCATCACTCCATGTTGGTAGCATTTGATTTTTTTTTCCCCTTCCTTCTCTCCTGAGCTGGCCAAATGAGAAACTTGGTTTTGCCACAGCAAGTTTCTTTGGTGCCTGAACACCAGTTGTGACGGTGCAGCAGCAGAAGGGGAGGGGGTTGTGTTGATGGAATATTCCATATAACATTAGACCTGGAGAAGATTTTTAATCACCTAAAATGTGGGACTACAGATTGTTCTCTTAATCGTTTGTTTTGAATGCCTGTGTTCATGGAAGTAGTTCAGAGCCCTGATGGTTCTGGCTTAAATCCTGAAGTCTTCACTGACTCCTAGTTGTGGATCTTCATGAATAAGTAGTTCTCAACTCTGTAAAGAAGGAAATTGTAGTGTTTTGTTGCGTTGCTGTTTCTGTGAAGGGGAATCCTGGAGTAATAAACATGATTCTGTAATTAGAATATTAGTTACAGTAGATTAGCCCTTCGTTTTAGTGAAAATCAGTGCTTTATCTGCTTTGCCAAGTGAGATGAACAGAGACAAGCACTAAAAATTACATGTTACAGTTCACTTCAAGCTCTTCTGCTGTCTATTTTCCTTGGTACTGAGGCCTTTTGGTACTGAAAGGAAAAATGCAGGATACATGCTGTTCTTTCAGAGCTGTTCTTTCAGGGCTGTGGTTTCCTCGAAACTGTTATTACTTTCCTTGGAAGCTTGTCTGGGCTGAAGGTGTCAGTCATGTATCTGAACACTGGTTTGTGTGATGAAATGAGCTTTTCCAGAATTTCACCTCGTCTTTCCCTGTAGTGTTTTTGCACTGGAGAAGCTTCATAGTAACAGCTCAGCTTTTTTTTTTTTAATTTTTTTTTTTCCCTGCAGGAGGAATGTCTGCCTTTTGTTCTTACAACTCTGTCTCCTTGTTCTTCCCTCAATGCCTTCCCCGTAAAGAAAGCGCCGCGTGGTGGTTTTTGTTGTTTTTCCTTTTGTTTGTTTGTTTTGAACCGAAAACAGAAATCTCGAATTAATTTGCGAAGCGGTGTTTGAACTCCCTCACAGAAGTTGCTGGGGTTGATGTGCGGGGAGACAAAGCTGCAATTATCTCCATCTTTGTCCTCCCGAGGGGCTTCATTACGGCGGCTCCTCTCTCCCCGCTGCCGTGTCCCGGCAAGGTGAAGTTCAGGATTCAGCAGACACAACAAATTATTATTTTCTCTGTGTGCGCTGTTTCATCCCTGCTGATGGAACATTTAACTGCCTTTTTTTTTTTTTAATTCTTTTTTTTTGGCTGTTGTTGTAGCAACAGGAGAGAGAGTCCGTGCAGCTCTGACAGACCTTGTGGTGTTCAAACCGACTTGTTTGATAGTGATGTGGCAAAAGTATCACTTTCCCCCCACTATCAGCCAAAGACAGGGACACTTCCAGCTCCCAAAACAGCTTTATTTCTGATACTGCTTAATGTCATTTGACAGGCACTTAATAATACTTTAACTCTTAAAGCCTCCTGCTCTAACAATTCCATGATGGATTTTAAGCAGGCTCTCCTCAAGTTTTAGGTTTGCTGATCCAACCCTGAGGGCACGTAAGTAATGCTTCAGACCCTGCAGACTCTTAAACTTTGTGGTAACATTTTCCTCCTCGAGGTAGTGCTTTGTCTTTTCCTAACACTTAAACCTCATTTTATTTGACAGTTCTAGCTCTCAAATCTGAAGTTTGAGCTGAAGATACATTTGGTTGTAGACACAAAAACTTATGTTCATACTTTCCCTTTATAAGATTATCACAGTTGAGCACCTCATATTTTGAGACTTTAATTTTTTTTTAAAAACAAATACATGTTCTTTTTTCTGCTTATGTATTTCAGTAGGACATAGTTCTTTTTCCACAGTGAATATATTGATATCTTTGCCAGCACTTAAGTGTTGAGTTCAAGTCAGGGGAGCTGAATGCACTTGGAGCTCCTTCTGAAGGGAATATCTGTAATATTTTGAAAAGAATGTACTCAAGTAGCTACCTGCAATTCACAGTGCTCTGTGCCTGGAAGGTGAGCCTTGACCATTGTTCAATATTTATTTTTAGAAATGAGGTGATATGGAGAGGTCCATTCAAAATGTTTCACTTTAAAGAGGGTACTCCAAGTATAGATTTGGCACCTTGTAAATCCTGACTTTTTCATGCCGTCCCATAAGGGAGGAAGGGCTAAAAAATGTGTGCCAGTGAGAATTAAATGTTCTGGTGTTGTGCATTGCTTGGTTCCATTTCAGTGGAAGATGGGATTATATATGAAGGATGACCCCACCATTTTGCATGTGGGATTATCATCTGGGTTGAGAGGAACAGTCTGTGGTGGGTGTGTTGAGAGAAACTCATTTAGCAGGTTCTTGTCCTGAAGCAATTCCTTGTTTGGCTGGGTAATAACGTAAGGAATCTCCAAGTCACCACTTGAGAAGAAATGTTCTCTGACACTTCTCTGTGACTTGCTGAGTGTAAATGAGATGTTGGTTTATAAAAGACACTTTCAGCAA